AATAAGACTCCAAGACATGATCCACTCCAATCCCCTCCCCCTGGGCATTCAAGATAGTCTTCCTAATACTTACCTCTTCTTGAACAGTCTCTGCTATCTCTTAGCGGGGAAAAGTTCAATTTTGCTCCATGAAAGGCAAGATTAAAGCTAAGAGAGCTCTGTGCTGCATTGGCAAACTTGGGTTTTATAACTTCCACGCAGGCTGACAGGCTGAAAAAGATTCGGCGAGGTCCTGTGGTCACCTCAGTAACAAAGCTTTTAAAGCTTCCATCATCAGAGGCAACGTGCAGAAGCCTGCTGGTAACACAGGAGAACTGAAAGGGCAGCGAGGGCTTGTGACTACAAACGTGGCTGCTGCTTCTCAGTTCTGAGTCTTAGGGGCTTTTTTGGTCTTTTTAAGCTGGCCTGAACAAACATGCATATATAGATATAGATTTTCCAAAAGAGTTAGATTAACCCCCGTTTTCAACCCAGATATTATGGGATATGGTCATTATTTGGTTCACTCAAAATTTATATTTTAACAATGCATCAATGTGACAGCTACTTTCTATTAGAGTCATTTTGTTAGGCATCTGGAATGACCAACTGTCCTGATTTGCCCCGGATTCTCCCAGTTTTAGCACCGATAGTCCTGTGTCCCAGGAAAGCCCTGTCTTGGCAAGTAAGGGCAGTTTGTTGCCCTGCTGCTAGCTCTAGGTTTGGACTTCAGGTCTGTATTGCTGAAGTGTCTAAAAGTGGATTTTAAGAGGACTTGCTACAAAAAAAAAAAAAAAAGCTGAAAAATTTTAAATCTTCACCATAAATTTCCAGCCATATTCTACTCAAAAGATGATTTAAAAAAAAAAAAAACAACCCAGTGATCGATGTCATATACCAGGCAAGAAATGGTTTCTTACTTTGTGGGGATGACATAATGTATGGAGGAAATTATACCATACCTAGAAATTGGCTATAATAAATACCACTCCAGTGAGGTTCTGTATTATGTTATTTTTTCCTCCAATTTCCACATTTGAAAGCCTAATAAATAATACATAAAATGACAGGCAGACATAACAGCATAAAATAAAAACCTCACATTTCTTTGGTTCTATTCAAGACCTTGTAACCTGTACACCGTAGGCAAACCCTGCAGAGTTAGAGAAATGATGAAAGCAGCATACTCTCTAGGGGTCACACCTGTAGTACCCAAAAGTCTGGCCAAGAAAGAAGCCATTGGACTTCAACCTGTCCCCTTGATCCAATGCCAGATACTTCAAGAAAACCAAAAGACTTCAGTACCTGGACCTGCAAAGTGAGAACTGTAGAGTCAAGATGAGAATTGGCTTCATCCAAGTTGGAAATGTTAACGTTTTAATACTATAACAGTTAGACATTAGATGGTCTGCTATCTGAAGCATTTCCACCGTGCTGAAGAATTCGTCTCTTTGACCTTTTAGTAGGCAGAATAATAGGTCCCAAATATGTTCAGTCCTAATCCCAGGAACCTGTAAATACATATCCTTACAGAGAAAGGGACTTCAAAGATGTGATTAAATGGAGGCCCCGGTGATGAGATTAGCCTGGCTTATCCAGGTATGTTCAATCTTATCACAAGCGTCCTTAAAAAATCAGAGAACCTTTCCTGGCTAAAAATTAAGAAGATGTGACTATGGTAGAAAGACACAGAGAGAGGCAATGCTACTGGCTTTGAAGATGGAGGAAGCTCTAGAAGCTGTAAAAGGCAAGGAAATAAATCCAACCCAGAGAGCCTTCAGAAAGAAGCACAGTCCTATTGAAACTTTGCTTTTAGCCTGGTGAAATCCCTATAGAATCTAACCTACAGAATGGTAAGATAATACATTTGTGTTGTTCTAAGCCACTAGGTTTGTAATAATTTGTTGCAGCAGTCATAGAAAACTAATACATCTTTTATCACAGTTGCTGTTCAATAATGCCTGGGTAGTATTTTGCTTCTAACCTCAATATTTGACCATTACCTCATGTTTAATTTGCTTCCATGTGTATACTTTGAAAACTAAATTTAGCACTAGACCAAATATTCTCAAAATCCCCCTGACAGTACAGAATGATACTTCCTTTTACTTGTCTACTTTGTTTAGCTTCTTGCCTTTGTTAGCACAGAGACTACTTACATCAGGAACTACTGAGCATAACTGAAACCACTGATTTTGTATGAAGGAAAAATGCTTTTTGAGTGGAAAATGGCAAATAACTTCTTTAAAGTTGTGTGCAAAGACACGGTAGTTTACCAGGTTCACAATGTCTCCCTAGAGTGCTCTGGATGTCACAATGACTGGAAGATGCCACAGCCTTTTGTGAACCAAGGACAGGGATACCAAAGAGGATAATGAAGAATTGTCCCATTGGACATGCCAGCAAACTCCATTGACAAACTCTGCTTGGATTGATTTGAAAAATTTAAGCATACTTATTAGCATGACAGAAATCAACTCAAAGAACATCAGATACTTATAAAAGAGTCATTATTAGTAGCATTTGATAGAATACGGGATGTCTCAGCCCTCACCTAAAATACATTAGGTACTTAAATCCAAAAGAACTTGACTATAGGGCAGCAAAAGCGATACATGGTCTTAAAAGCACACATGCACAAAGGGTTTTCTTCCAATCAGCTCTAGACCAGAGATTCTCAACCCTGGCTGCACGTTAAGGTCACCTGGGGAGCTTTAAGGAACACCTATAGATGTTCAGGCCCCAACCATGGAGATTCTGATTCAGCTGGTCTGGGTAGGGCCTGGAATTAGGGTTTCTAGATGCTCCCCTGGAGGCTCCAACATGCGGCCAGGACTGAGAACCACTGCTCTGTCCGTAGGGAGCAGCCTCCTGCACATACTCACGTGAATGTGGCTGCTCCACAGATTTGAATCAGTTCTTCCCTTCCTGTTTTGTAGTACAGTTATCACCACCCATTCATTGTTCCAAAAAAAGAAATCTGGGAGTTATTCTAGATGTCTTCCTCTCCTTTACTTCTCACCTTTAATCAACAATTCCCTCAGTTCTCCCAAATCCAGCCCAACATTTCCAGACCCAAGACCTCCACTCGCCTCCCTTCCATTAGTCTCTCCCCACTTCTCTGCTGCCTAAGGAATTATCCTGTAAAAAAAAAATTCTGATTGTGTGCCCTTTTCTGCCTCCCCACTCAGCAGAGAAAATTCAAACTCTGGAGCCTGCCCCCTAGGGTCCCTCCCAGGCTTCACCAGCCTTCTTCTCTAGCCTCATCTCCTCAGTTGGCTACTTTCTGGCCACACCCTGGCCACCCTAAATTTCTAAAGCTTCCTGGAATAAGTCATGCCCTCTGGGGCCTCTGTGTACACTTACACGTGATTTCTTATTCTTGGAATGCCCTTCCCTACTTCTCTGACTGAAGGTACCTCATGGATAGCTCAAAGACCCCTTTCCCTTCAAGCTTCTTCCCCTCCCCATCTTGGTTCTCTCCTCCAGCAGCATCCACCACACCCTGCTCCCACCTTACTAAGCTGGACACAAGCACCTCCTTCTTTACACACTTTTCTCCTCTGTGAGACTGAACAACTCTGGGCCAAGGCCTGTGTATTTTTCATGTTCATATTCCCAGTATCTGGCATGCATTCTTTTGTCCATTCATTCAACAGTTTTATTAAATATATAACAAGTGCCAGACACCTTGCTATATGCTGGAGGCAAATGGTTAGGAAGTTATTTGCTATTCTGGCTCTCGCAGAGCTTGTATTCTTGAAAGGGAGGCAGATGGCTGGATGAGTGTTTGTGGTGAAACAGGAAGGTCCATCAGAGGATTGGGAGCTTTGTTTTGTTTTATGCTTGCATGTTTCCAGTATATTCAAAAGTGAAGAAATGTCAAAAACAGGTTTCAAAAATTATGGCATATTCTGAATGTTTACATTTGACAGAGTTGTATGATGAAGGCCATTGTTTCATTGTCAGTACATCTCTGACAGATCACCTCATTTGGAGATATCCAAAGTCCAAATTTGCAAACCTTATAAACATGAGTTGAGGAAAATTGATCCTCTTATCCTAAGGAAGGTCTGATACCTAGTCTACATGAAATAAATACCTGCTGAATGCATAAATGGATGGATGATTAGCTCCAGTAAAGCAAATCAGGTTATGAGTAGGTTTTATTTTTTATTAGCATTTGCTGTATTCCCTAAACAGTTATGTAAATAAACAATTAAAAGCCTAACAATTCAACAAGTGTCCATAATCCAATGGGGAAAGAAGAGAAGTAGGTAGAGGTATAAATGAAACAATTCCAGCCACGAGTTGACAACTGTTGAAATTGGGTGATGGAGATGTAGGAGTTCATTATATTATTCTCTCTACTTTGGCATTTTTCATAATGAAGTTACATTTTAAAATGTGGAGGGGAATCTAAGTCATTGACTACAGGAAACTGTGTATCTTGGAGTAGGCAAACACATTATCACCCGTCTAGGATTATGGTTACCTTTCAAGTCTACAACAAGATTCAAATGCTATAGCTAGTTCCAAAAGCTAAGTAAGCTTCTTCAAGATGAAACCCCTACAGCATTAGATTGACCTTTTGTTGTTGTTGTTGCTGCTGCTGCTGGAAAAGCCCTTACAATGTTTACAACCATCTGTTAAGAACAGGGTTTACTTTTCTCTGACCTAATCTGCCTTATCTGAGGTTTTATCTTGCACAGGGTATGCCCTCAATGTCTGCCACCTATTAATTATGTTTGTGCCATAGGGATACATTCTGTTAAGGCAGCAGCCTCAAAGGCTCTCCAACTCAGGTTTTTAGAAGAAAATGAAAAAATTCTGGATGAAAATCAATTTTAAATATTATTTCTTTAAATCCTGAAGTCGTGTCACTATTGATAAGGACTCTATGACTGTTTCTTTCAATAAAACATCACATGTTTTCATCTATAGACCACTTAACATTTTTTTTCCTCTTTAAGTTCTGGTTAAATTCAAGATTCTAGAAGAAAATATGTCAGAATTCTTACCTCTTCAGCTCCTAAAGCCTGAGGCTCACTGGCAGATCTGGCTGTTGAGAAAGCAGAGAGAAAAATGAATTTTTTAAAAGGAAAAATAACATGATACACAAGAGCTGGATGAGCAGAATGAATGAAGTTTCTGACACGGGGGTGGGTGGTAATGACAGTATAGTTATAAGGGCAGGAGGTCTCACAGGTTTACGTTTCAGAGCCTAGAAATGAACCTTTTATTAACTCTTTTCCTTTTAAGAAATAGATTTGTGAAATTGGAGTCCCTTTCTTTGTGAAATCCCCTAGCGTGCAAGAAAACACGAAAACACAAAGCGCCCACTTAGGAAACTAGACGAAGCAGAGTTCTTGGTGGGAGAGGCTGTATACCAATGGAATGAATAAGAACCATCTTTCCTTCTGACCTAACCTAATTTGCTCCGAGCAGGACCAAAGCAGCAGAGACCAACACAGTCTTGTTCCAGGTATTAGGAACAGAGTTTGAGTGCATACAGTTTGTGTGTATCTGGCCCTTTAGGAGGGTGGAGAGGACACGTTGGTGGTTATAAGAGTATCTTTGGCACTCAAAGCTTCAAAAGGCTGTTTGGAAGTAGAAGACACCTATGCCCTTAGCCACTGATGACCTCTGTGGCTATCGAGCAGAGGTGGCCTACTTTTGTCCAGTGCCGCGTGTGGTTCCTACGGAAGAAAGTTCCTGCGTAGATGAGCTTCTTTATTCCTGAAAAGCTCTAGAGCGCTCAGCTCAAAGGGAATTGCTAAAGCCTCAAGGAACACTTTCCCATTCCTATTTTGCTGTGTCTGAGAACAAAGAGATATCTCACATCTAGAATATTATGAATGAGGGTGGAACTCAGATTCACAAGGGGTTCTAGGACCAAATGAACATCAGTATCTCCAGAGGCCTCACATTACTTGAGACTGGCATGTGTGCTACAATGTCAACCCAACCAATTATATTCCCAGACTACCATAGGGGCCATACATTTTTAAATAGGCTAAAGTTATTAGAAAATCATTATCTCATGATTAATGACAGCAAAAAGGAGAAAAAAAAAAAAAAAAGCCAAGGGCTAAAAACAACTTATTTTCAGAGAATGAACCCTAGAGTAACAAAGACTAGGTGCGACACGCAAAATAAGCCCGTTCAAGGGGGTTCTGGACCCGGCACTCATTTGTTATTGGTGATAGTGGAAGCTGGCACAACTTCTCTCGAAAGCCGTCTGGTCTTGTTTATCAAGAGACCCAAATATGCTCTCAGTCATTGTTTTAGTGATGCCACTCCATGACTTTAACCAAAACAAACCCAAAATGTGGACAAAGAAGAATTATCAAGGTGTTAGAAATAGCCTAAATATCAATAATTCAACCTATTAAGTAAAACAAAAATTCCACATGATAAAATTTTAAAACAACGAATACAAGAAATTTAAATGGGCCAGGTGCAGTGGCTCACATCTGTAATCCCAGCACTTTGGGAAGCCAAGGAGGGACGAACACTTGTGTCTGGGAGTTCGAGACCAGCCTGGGCAACATAGTGAGACATGTTCTCTACAAAAAAAGTCAAAAGTTAGCCAGGCATGTTGACGCACACCTGTGGTCCCAGCTACTTGGAAGGCTGAGGTGGGAGGATAGCTTGAGCCCAGGAGAGTGAGGCTGTAGTGAGCCATAATCATGCTACTGTACTCTAGTCTGGGTGACAGAGTGAGATGCTGTCTCAAAAAAGAAAAAAAGCTTTAAATGATGAAAAAATGCATTTTATATTCTCTTTTTACTTAACTTTATTTTAAAATTAATAAATACTGTTACTTTAGAAAGTAACTTAAAATAAGATTACTTTATTATAAAGTAAAAAGAATATAAAATGCATTTTTGTCATTTAAATTTTAAAGTAAAAATATAAAATATTACATATAGTGTGAACTCAACGATTTTCTAATATACATATTTACATATATTAATATTTTTAAATATATATTTTCTATGTCAATATATTTTTCTAATATATACGTACTAACATATATATTATATACATACATACATATGTTGTATTATATAACACATTTTCTAGTATAATTATACACAGTATCTTTATAATACATAAAGACTAGAAGAAAATACATCAAAATATAAACAATATGTTTCCTCTGTTCAATAGAATAACCAAAGTGGCAGAAATTGCTAGATATATCCCAACATCTGCTCTTGTCTTCTTCCATGGTTTTAATAGAATTCTAAGCTAAGCACCTACATATCAATAATAGTTACCTTCCCCAACCTCCCTTGCTGCTAGGTATGTGGCCATGTGACAAAATTCAATGGTACAGCATCAAAAGTGGTATGTGTAACTTCTGGGTCAGAGCTTCCCCTTCTAACTTCTTCCATCCTGCCCGTTATAGCAGAGCCTTTATGGCAAGCCACATTAGATGACGAAAGTGAGAGAAACCTCATAGGAATGATAGAACAACAGGATAGAAGGAGGCTGGGTTCCTGCATGATCTTGTGGAGCATAGCTACCTTGCCAGTCCTGGGCCATCCACATCTGGATTGTCACATTAAAAAGAAGTAACTTCTAACTTATGTTAGCCACTGTGAACTCAGGCCTCTGTTACATGTAGTTCAACTAACAATTTAATTAATAGATGGGGCCATTTTTATTTTTTCTTTCAAATTTTCAATAATTTCCACATTTTTCAATAATCAGTATGAATTACTTTGCTGATCCGAAAAAAACTAAGTTTTGTTTACTAATGTTAAGAAAATTAAACATAGTATAAAGTTTGGGCAACATGTGCCTTCTTTCCACATAGGATAGGAAAAACGAAATCTATAGTTTAAAAAGTTCTGCTTTAAAATCTGATTGAGGCATACTCTAAGCAGTAAAACTTTAGTCAATGCATTATAATTATTCATTACAGAGGATACCCAGACTTTTTTTTTTTTTTTTGAGACAGGGTCTTGCTCTGTCACCCAGGCTGGAATGCAGTGGTGTGAACGTGGCTCACTGAAGCCTCAACTTCCTGGGCTCAAGCCACCCTCCTGCATCAGCCTGCCAAGTAGTAGCTGGGACCACAGGTGCACACCACAACGTCCAGCTAATTTTTTTTTTATTTTCTATAGAGACAGGTGTCTCTACATTGCCCAAGCTGGTCTCAAACTCAGGAGTCAAGCAATCCTCCTGCCTCAGCCTCCCAAAGTGCTGAGATTACAGGCATGAGCCAATACACCCAGCCAGACTATTTTTTTCTTTTTTCTTTTTAGATGAAGTTTCGCTCTGTCACCCAGGCTGGAGTGCAGTGGTGTAATCTCGGCTCACTGCAACCTCCTCCTCCCAGGTTCACGCCATTCTCGTGCCTCAGCCTCCCAAGTAGCTAGAACTATAGGCGCTCGCCACCACGTCAGGCTAATTTTTTGTATTTTTAGTAGAGACGGGGTTTCACCGTGTTAGCCAGGATAGTCTCGATCTCCTGACCTCATGATCCGCCCCACCTCGGCCTCCCAAAGTGCTGGGATTTCAGGCGTGAGCCACAGTGCCTGGCCCCAGACTTCTTGAAGTGAATTTAGTAATAGTCTTCAAAACAGATTTGTGTGTACACTCATACCTTTAATTTAAGGGTGCTGTTGGTTCTTCACATGGAATCATACTGGATTTCTCCTACAGTAATTCCACTGGCCCATGAATTTGGTTGACTGTCCATCAACCAAGTATATGCTTTGATTTTATTTTCCTTTGGAGTAGTAATAGATTTGGCAGAGCTCACATAACCTTCCTGGTCTCCTTTGTGTCCCACAGGTCTGCATTATAAGATGACTGTCCAAGATAAAGGAGTCATACCTAGTCCATAAAATAGAGAAACGATATCTTGCCTACTTGGGAATCAGATCTGAAACAATGGCCTCATTAAAACCAGCCTCTAACCATATTAGAATAATATGCTGAGATCATTTAAACTTGCAATAATGTTCATCAGCAGCATTTGATGCCTTTTAGAGGATCATTAAAACCTTGTGCAGAGGCACACAAGACACTCCACAAGGTTGACCTTAGAGACTTACATGAAGTCATATATCAGAGAAAGAAACTATTTTCCCCAAGAGAATGCCAAATGATCCTTTTCTCCCTTGTGAACCACAATATCCAACACTAATATGACTAACCTATATTCAATAACAAAGGCAGGATGCCAGGGTTTCTTCACTTCCCTCTCAGAATGACTGTGCCAGTACATTCTTGAGAAACCCCTTCACTCTCTCCTGCAGTAGGCAAATTGAAGCTAATAGTCAAAGCTCTGAATTCTGTTTCTCTCCCCCTCTTGCCTTTGCAGGAACATAAGCAAGCCAACTCAACAGGCCTAATTACCATGGTAACAACATGCACCGTGATTATGAGTGTGTTTGTTTTTTAAAATGACTCACAGATTGTTCCCCAAGAAGCCCCAGACACACAGGTTTCTGGCTGGTTTATAAAATCCATCTGAAGTTTTCTTGCACATATCTTGTGCCTATTATCATAACTGGTGTGATGAAGAGAGATTCATCAAATATGCCTTTCTCCTTAAGGATGAAAAAACCCATTTTGTTCTTTAAACACTCCAAGATTAATCAATTTAAACCTCAGGTTTATAATGAAATTAATTTGAGTTTGTACACTGGAGATAATTAATCTGTTCCTAATTTAAATAATTAAGGTATTTCATAATGTGGTTTTAGAGACCCAAATGAAATAATCAGGTGAAATAAACTTAGTGAAAAATATAAAATAAAACAGTCTAAATCTACAGTATTTCATAATGTGGTTTTAGAGACCCAAATGAAATAATCAGGTGAAATAAACTTAGTGAAAAATACAAAATAAAAGTCTAAATCTATGGGTACATGACCACATGTAAAGTGTTATAAAAGAATAGATGTCAGTCTTAATACCAAGACGTTTTCAAACAAATCTATAAAACAACAGCATTTATTTTTAAAATGCAAACATGAAAGAGTCCAGACATTTGGAGAACTGTGGACTACTTCCACTCATCTATTCAATAAATATCATTTTAGACCCTCTATGTACTAAGCACCATTGTTTATAACTGGAACATCACAATAGGGCTTAGGGAAGACTATGTTCTCACGGGAGGCAAAGGCCATGGGCATGGCTCAGTGCATTATCTTCTCTTAGGGAGCTCCTTTGCTTCACAAGGCACCATTCTGGGTAAGGTTATCAGTGAGAGGGAACATTACCTAATGATTATACCAGGCCTGGAGTTCAGAGTCCTAACATCGGCATCACAGTGGACTCCCTCAAAACAAACAAAACATATATATGCTAGTAATTTTAATATGTTGATTTCTTCTGTGTGAAGTGGAAATAGACCCTATTTTAAAAGAAATTTAAATGGAATTTATATAAATCTATTTCACTTAAATCCCTTGATGCTAACATATAATACATTACACACACACACACACCACACACACAGACACACACACAAAATAGTCATTTAAAATTACTATATTCAAATATCTACTGTACTGTAACCAATAATATATTTTTTCTCTAGAGTTTGAAGGGCAAACCAGATTGTTTGAATCCGTATAGGCTAGGTTATATTGTGGCAACAACTCAAAAACTCTCTGGCTTATTTGAGCAAAGCTTATTTCTCACTTTCTCTCCATGTCTACTGCGGTTTGGCAAAGATGATCTTTGTGTTGTCTTGACTGTTCGACCCAGGCTTAAGAGTGCAGAGACCACTTCTATCCTTCAACCATGGCACTCACATGCTGGTTCTCATGGCTTCTTCCAGGAAGTGACACACCTCGCTTCTGTTCACTGCACCTGCCAAGGCAAGGCATGTGGTCACACCTAACCAAAGCAGACTGGGAAGTGGAAGCCTATCCTGAGTTGGAAAGGAAAACTGGAGATATTGATAGCCAAGCACATGGATTCCTGAACAAATAGCACAAACCCAGACTAACACTTCATGAAGCCAAAACGACATCCGATGATAATAGGCTTCCTTCGGGGATGCTTTATTCCAAGGTCTGAGCACCTATGATTAATGTTGGGCCATAGCAATCATTTCTGCAGAATTTGGTGCAAATCCCTTGGATAGAATAAAAGATAGTCTACTGCAGACTTGTGGTAACAATAACTTATACTAATAATAGATTCATTTTGAATAACGACGTTACAATTCAGGCACCTTGCTAAGTAAACATTTCACATTTATTATGTAATTTTCTCCTGACAGTTTTGTGAAGTAGATATCATCTTATTTCCCATTTTATAGATGAAGAAGCTGAGGCATAGGAAGCTTAGGAAACTTGCCCAAGTAATTCTGACTCTAAACCAATATCCTTTAACTACTATGCTCTCCTACGTGCTATCTTTGAATGTTACTTTTCCACACTTCAGTATTTTATGATTATTTTAAGATGAATAAGACTAGTTGGACCATATATATATATGTATTTTTTTTTTTTTTTTTTTGCCTAGGACTTTTCACCTCTACTTAAATTTTTCTTATTTTAATTTTAAAAGTCATAAAACTATTTAATATCAACTTTTTTCCAAAGAAAAAAATAAAAATGTCGGCCGGGCGCGGTGGCTCAAGCCTGTAATCCCAGCACTTTGGGAGGCCGAGACGGGCGGATCACGAGGTCAGGAGATCGAGACCATCCTGGCTGACACTGTGAAACCCCGTCTCTACTAAAAACTACAAAAAACTAGCCGGGCGAGGTGGCGGGCGCCTGTAGTCCCAGCTACTCGGGAGGCTGAGGCAGGAGAATGGCGTGAACCCGGGAGGCGGAGCTTGCAGTGAGCTGAGATCCGGCCACTGCACTCCAGCCTGGGTGGCAGAGCGAGACTCCGTCTCAAAAAAAAAAAAAAAAAAAAAAGAAAAAATAAAAATGTCAGTGAAATGTCTTAATGCCCATATACAGCAATGTTCCCTAAACACAACCATCATTCATGAGGTTTAAAAAAATGGCAAAGGATCAATTAGTTTTCCTAAATAAAGCCTCTATAATGAAAGAAAATGAAAGTGAGGGTTTTTTTTCGGTTTAAATTTTTTCACAATTTTTCTTATATGGTTCTAATATATAAGATATATATATATCAGATAAATACTCTCCTTAAACAGAGCTCTGTTGGCAAAGTCTAGAATTAACTTACTTTCCTGTCTAAAAATGCAAATCTAAGAGTAGGAAGCACTCCATCATTTATTTAAAAAAGTACTCCTACCATTAATGCTTAGTCTGTTATGATGAACATGCACAGAAATACACCTTAGAGACAAGTAGTCAAAACACTGTAATGACAGCAGTTCCACTGAAATTTCCCTTTTTCACTATTGCTGCTTCACATGCATAGCCTCTGAAATATAATGCCAAAGTAGGAGGTAGCAACCATAAAGAGACTGTAACAATAATGGAACTGTATATGCTGCCTCCGGAGCTGGAAAGTGGAAACTATTTTCTAAATAACTCATAATCAGAAATTCCAGAGATGATCCATTCTTCTTTACAGGTACTGTAGTCAACAAAATACCTACCTCTCTAGAGAAAACAAGGTTCTCATTTAAGTTTGACAGATACTATACACAGAACACTTGGCGTCTCTAGCTCATTACTTGGCCCAGGGTAGATTTTTACGTAGACCAAATTGATTTAAATGACCAGTCAGGAAAATTCAATTTAATTATATATATATATTTTATAATGCAGAAATGCAGGGCTGGTTGTCTAAATTAAATGGCATTCTTATTGCTTTATAGGACCTGATGTATTTCCTTCTGGAATATTTTGTTTAGGAGGTTATTCTTCACTTTGCCTAGCTTCCTCCAGTCTGTGTTTTTTGCCAGGATTCTTCCTCTGGCCTACCTGGATCATTGCTAAAAACAAAAACAAGTTTTGAAAAAATATATATATTTTCTTTTGGGTTCAAGGGTACATGTATAGGTTTGTTATATAGCCAAAAACAAGGCTTTTGTTCGTGTTTTTCTCAAAAGGAAATGCGTGGAAACTCTGTTCAATTCAATGTTGTATGATATTGCTCAGTTATTTAAGCTTTTTAGCCTTGATATCTCCACTTATAAAATGGGAATAATAATAGTGGCCAACTCTATTGACTGTCTACCCACTAACCCCCTCTTCCTTGCTAACAGAACCAGACTCTTTTGCTGGGGTTTGATGACTTTGTTTTTCAGAGGCTGGGCTGCTCCATGGCCTCAGGAGGAAACTCTTAAATTAGCCAATCACAGTGGTTCTGTCTGCCTACTTACTCATACATAGAGCATGTGAGTTGTGAGGGGAAATTCCACTGGACACAGATTTTCTGTGACTTTAAGAAGCGCCATGGCAGGGCAAGGTAGCTCGGGCCTGTAATCCCAGCACTTTGGGAGGCCGAAGTGGGTGGATCTGTTGTGCTCAGGAGTTCAAGACCAGTCAGGGTAACACGGTGAAACCCCATCTCTACTAAAATACAAAAATTAGCTGGGCATGGTGGCACGCACCTGTGGTCCCAGCTACTCAGGAGGCTGAGGTGAAAGGATCAGCCCTCCCACTGCAGGCTGAGGCTGCAATGAGTCATGATCATGCCACTGCACCCCAGCCCGGGCAACAGAGCGAGACCCTGTCTCAACAAACCAAAAAGAGCCACATAACAAATCAGCCGCCCCTTAATATGCCTCTACGTATGAAATATGCCTTTAATTCCAAAATTGTAGCAGCCATGTCCACACAGTGACGGGAAATCAACCTGCTGAAGGTGTCACAGTAGGAGGAAGGGAAGAATCCAGGTTGCTAAAGACATTATCCAGCTACCACATAAGTAACTCTGAAGCTACCCTCCTTTCAGAGGTCTTGGGATCAATTTCCTATTGTTTACACCATTTTTGTAGGGCATTCCTTTACCAGCAGCCAGAAATATCCTGATAGAAAAATAGTGACCTTATTTCATAGGGTTATTTTAAAAACTAGCTAAAACAGCAATGTATATAAAGTATCCAGCACAAACTGAATGCTTAATAAATGCTCATTCTCAACTTAATTCTTGACGTATGTTCATCTTCATTTATTCAAACTAGTTAATGCTTTCTTTACTCTGTGTGGTCTGAATGACTCCTCTAGGAGGTTTTCCCTGGTTCCCCAAAACAGAATTAAGGGCAGAAGTGATTGCTTTCTCCTCTTTATTCAGATAAAGATAATATCAGGTACCTAAGGTTATTTTAAACAATAAGAACAGTATTTAATTCAGACAAGTAGTGTAGTGCTGATTGCAGTGTACAACAAAAAAAATGTAATAAACAGAGTAGTCTTCCTGACTGTGTAAATCAATTTGAACTAAATAAAATCCAACCCAGATCAAGTAATCAACACAGCAGCCAAGTGTTCTGCATTTGGAGTCCACAAAGTTTATTGAAAAGCTGCTTTCTGTAGGGAAAAGACATATTTTGTAGATTACAGTACATGCATGTGAAGAAGGACACATGTCCTCTGAAATTTCAACTGATCCTTATTTCAGAAAGGCACCTGCACCTTCTGCTCAAAACCTTCTCCACAAGTCCCCTTCACCCCAATATCTTTACATGGCTGACTCCTCAGCATCGTTTTGTTCTCAACTCAAATGTCACCTTTTCAGAGACATCCTTCAGGGATTACTCAATGAAGTAATCTCCCAATTACCCCCGCCAGCATAGGCACAGTCCCCACCGTTCAATCTGTTTCTACTTCAATCCATCAAAGCACTCACTGCTACTTGATATTTTATTTTATTGTAAGTCATTTCTGTCAATGGGTTCCAATCCTGGTTGATTCTGATTTAATTACTCTGTGGTGAGGTTGGGACATAGATATTTTTTTCAAAGTACCCACTCAGTGATTTCTAACATGCAGTTAGATTTAAAAACCACTGGTTTCTGTGTTTATTGAATCTCTCCCAATTCTCGAATGGAAGTTTCAAGAAAACAACTGGACAGTTTTGTTCATCCTAATCTCCCTGGCATCTTGAAGAGCACGTGGCACACTGCAGACGTTAAGACTTAGAACAGATTGACTAATTGTATTGTAATTATATTTCTGTATTTGTCTGTTTTCCCCATGAGTCTGTGAGCTCTTAGAGGACAAGTACTATGTCTAACACACTCTGCATCAAAAACTGAGTCACTCAAGAATGTTCACTAAATAAATGAATGATAAACAAACTGCATTTTGTGGTATAAGGAAGACAAAGATGAAACCAAATGTGACCGCTGTCCTCAAAGAGACTGGAGTGTGGTCAAAAAAAAAAAAAAATGCAGATTGCTGTTATACACACTAGAATGAGCTAGATGCTGTGATGAAAGAACAAAAGATTTCAGAGGAGGCATTGTTTTCTATTGGGGAAAAAAGGGAAGAAACCAAGGGAGGCTTCATGAAAGAGGCAGCATTTGAACTGAGCTTTACAGGACAGATGGAATTTGGTTATTCAGAGAAGTAAGACTGTGGGGAAGAAGTATGGAAGGGGAAGCAGGAACTAACCTATCCCAGGCAGAGAGAAAAGAACTCAAAAAACAAGTCAGCCCAGCTGGAGGTTAGGAGGGCCTGAACTAAGACACTGCCGATAAACATGGAAAAGAATCAGTATGAAGATATTTTCCCAATCACAATTGCAAAGGGCTATACAACTTCCTGCAACTAGGGGTGCTTGCTGAGGAAAATAGTGAAGTTGAATTATCATAACTGAGGTAATGAGAAATGGGGTGTCATTAACAGTTACAAAATCAGGTGAGGAGCTGGTTTTGAGGAGTGGGAAAGGTGATGGTGAGCACGGTTTTGGACATGTGAGTTTCAATTTCT